ATTTTATTTTATTTTTTATTTTATTTTATTTTTTATTTTTTTTATTTATTTTTCATTTTATTTTATTTTATTTTATTTTATTTTTTTTATTTTATTTGATTAATTTAATTTAATTTAATTTAGCTTAATAAAATTTAACTTAATTTTATTAAATTGTATCTTATTTTATTTTATTTTTATGTAGTATATTTAAATATATTTGTTTACTTTGTTTTTGTTTGTATTTTGTGTTATAATATCAGTAATATCAAATTTTATTTTTTATTTTATTTCACTTTATCAAGCTTAATTCTATTCCACTACTCTTTATTTTACTTTACTTCATTTTATATTCAACAATTTTATAATGAGCTCGAGGCCATTTTTTAAATGAAAATTTATTGTGGAAAAGCAACAATAATTTGAAAAAATCTTATATTCTCGTTCGTTTTATTTTATTTTATTTATATTTTATTTTACATTAATTAAGTATGTATTCGCATTTATTTTTTCCATTCTCTTCTATTTTACTTTATTTAATTTAATTTTACTTTACCTTATATATTTTTTCCCTTATTTTATTTGTTTCGTTAGACTTTACCTTATATTATTTTATTTTGCTTTATGCATTTTGTTTTAATTTTTTTATTTCTTCTTTATTTTGTCTCATTGTATTCTGTATTATTTAATTCTTCCTCGTTTCCCTTTTAAGTCATATTATATTATTTTATTTTATTCCAATTTACATTATTTCATTTTAATTCTATTTTATTTTATTTATTTCATTAATTTTTTTAATTTTTTTCCCATTGAATATTTTATATTCTCCATTTTATGTCTCTCCATAAATCTGTTATTTATATTTAATATTTTAATTTATTTTGCTTTAAATTACATATATCAATTATCCGTTTTTAATAAACGCATCGCACAAAATATATTCCCTTTTCCAACACTTCCATTGTATTGCAACGCCGTTCAATTTAGCGGCAAACAGCGCGATTATCTTTTTGCTTGATCCGCTCTCAGTCACACTCTTGCGATCATATGTTTTTGACATTTCCAATTCAGCTGACATTCTGATTAGACAACTCGCTTATTAAAACCACTTGTTGAATCTCGCAGTTCCGTCTCGATATAATTTTTAAACTATAATTTTCCTCTAAATTTTTCCGTTTCCGCGGTAAAAATATGCACATTCGTTGGACTATAGCACAGAGCAACTAACTGAGTGAAAATCTATGGTGTTATTGGCTGCAAAATTATGAAATTGGTGTATATATAAAATTGCTTTCATGTGGGTGTGTGTGCTAGTGGGAAAAAAGGAGAGCTCGTTGCGCTAGAAAACACCATACGCAAGTAAATGCATTTGAGGCAACAACAAAGACAAAAGAATTATAAAAAGGGCGAACGGAGCCTCCATACGGGCACATAAGAAAATAAAATAGTACTTATAAATAAACCATCAAGTCACTTTTCCACTTGAACGCGAGTGTTGTAGCTTAAGAAGCTAACATTTTCTTGATGCATGCAGAGTGGGGTGTGTTAGCAGAAAACCAACTGGTACATAACCGGGTCTTCTTGTTCGTTCGGCAACCATAGGTGGTAAATGCAAGGCGCAAGACGCATATTCATTGGATTCTTTTTCTATAATTAGTTTCGCGTTTTTGTTTACATGCCACACATTCGTCAATTGCCGCATCTCTTTTGTTTATTATTTTATCTGTGAGCATTTGTTTCTGTATTCAACAGAAATTGTGATTTTTGTTAAACAATTGAATAGTGGCGATTGCTCTATTGACCGTTGCGCCAATGTATGAGCAGGCGTCCGCGAAATTGTGCAGAATATTTTTAAAAAGTTGACAACTAGTGGTCTACCTAGTGTATATATCAAATGACTGGGATCTTCAACTATGGTTGAAATGTAAATTTGTAAAACCAATGATATAAGCTTATAAATTA